CCCTGTCTTAGTTAGTACTAAGGGCCAAACTTGTTTGTTTTGGCTCTCTCCACGCTTCCTTTACCTGCAAAACCACACACAAATTTAATTTGCCTTGTAATAGCTTACGAGATTAGGCTATAATGAATTGCAATCTCACTTGAAGTGTGGACTTCTTAAGAGGAAAAAAATATTTACTTTGAATAACAATCTTGTATCCCACATGTAATGCTCAAAAGGGACCAAAACCTTCCAGAGGAAAAAGTTGGAAAAACCACTGCAAGAGGAAAACTTGGCTGGGGATAGAGCTGCTGGCATGCAGTGAGGGTGGGAAATAATGGCAGAGGTAGAGGGAGGGATGAGAAAGACACGGGATTAATGGGATAAAAGGAGACAAATGACTACTCGAGGCCTTGCGGGCTGTGACCGTTTTGGGAATGAGCACGCAGGGTGAAGGGAGGAGGAGGAGGAAAAAGTCTGGGACGTGCTGGCAGAGGCAGGAGGGTCACAAGGAGCAGAGGACGGGGCGTGCATTATTGCCTTTATGGAGAGGGGGTGACAAGAGTGGATGAATATCCATATGTCCACATCCAGGAACCTGAAAAGGGGTAATAGATGGCCTGGTCTATTTACAGGAGCTCACCTCAGCATCCAGATTATTTCTAACACAGAGTACAAGCAAAGCAGGTGCCAGACAAAAGAAGTACTGAAAATATTAATTAAAAAAAACACCTTTAGTTATTGTTCTTAGCTTGTAGAACTTACTAAGAAATCTTGGCAAAACACACCTGGCTTTCTAGATTTCTTTGGCATAAGCTGCTTTTCAGCAGTGAGAAGGTGTGAAAGGGCTGACTGAGCACCCTCTCTACCCTTCCACAGCACACATGGAGGGACACAGAACAACTCCAGCTCCTTTCACAGCAGACTATTCCCCACTTAAGGACAGCCCCTTTCTTTATACTGATATTTCTCCACCACAGCTCGGCGAGTCCAAGCACAACACACATCCAGCACCAAGGAGCAGCGGCCCCTCAGCCCGGGACACTGCAGCCACTGTTCCCTCTCTCTGGGCTTTGTTTTCCATCTTCCCTTGTTCTTCCCCAACAAGCCATCCCTGCTCCTGCAGCCCCCCTCCCCAAAGCCCAGCTGTCAATGCCCCCTCGCTCCGCTCCTGGATATGCGAGCGCTCCGGAGTCAATCTTCCCATGAAAATCAAAAGTCAATGACCTGCCCTTCCCTGTTCCTTAAGAACCAAAAAAAAGAGAAAAAAAAGGAAGAAAAAAGCCATAATTTTTCTTCCTCTCAGTTCTCACGTGTTGTTAATGTTCACTCGAGTTGTTAGGCAATACAAAATGCATTAATTCCTCCGAAGTGAGTTCCCCATGAAAGATTTAATTGTTGCTGATTAGGCATAGTTTTCTCCTTCGCCACCCCCCCTTCTTTTGGGGTTGGTGAAAAAAGAAGAGCAGAATGCAAAGATATTTTTCACTCAAAGACTATGTTAGCCTTATTATCTAATCAAGTGGAAAGGCCTTCGTCTGTCCTGGCCCTGCCAAAAAACAAGTGAGGCAATAAAAACCTTTAAGATTTTTCTCTATCCTTTGTTATCCCAAAAGACCCAAGTTTAGTCAATTGCTGTCACATCACTAGAAAGAAAGAGAGGAGGAAAATAGAAAAGAAAGAGAAAAGACACTGCTGTAGCTGTTTTAAAAATAGGGGGGGCTTTCTGTAACCCATGAAGAAGCCTGGTCCACAAAATTGCACAGTAATTTTCAAAAGATTTGCATTTAAAAGATTGAATACAGGTCGCTTCCCTGTGACCATAGAAACATTAGAAAAGGTGGAAAATTCAGTCTACTGAACTTCAAATGACTTTATTAAAGTGTCACTAATCAGAACCCAAGGACACAAGGTTTTAGTGTTTGGGCTAACAACGTGAATAAACCTCAAAAGTCAAATGACCTTCTAAGAGCATTACGTTTAAAAAAAGCCACTTGTCAACAGCAAGTTAAGTAAGAAAAACTTGATTGCCTCTAAAAAATGAGTAATCCCATGCAGCTCACAAGAACAAAACTGGACTATGTCTCTAGAAGCAGGCTCATATTAGACAAAAATCTCCAAATCTCCTTTATACTGTGTGGACAACCAAGCATTTGCTTTCATTTGGGACAGTTTAAGATAAACTTTGAATGAAATATGTGAAATATTATTTTGAAGTTAATGTCCCCACGCAATGAAAGAGGGATGATAAAAAATACCTTACAAGGTTCATTAGGAAATGGTGTTTATCCATATCAGCAGTGCCAAAATACAGGTAGACACTGAAAATAAGTTACATGCACATGACAACTGTCACTAATCAGAAGGCGACCTGAGTCACAGGTCATTTAACATATTTATTCACCCGAGGCACCATCACTTCTATCCAACAGGCATCACCTCCAGTTTGGTTCTGTCTCTGGAGTCACACCAGGTGTTCTGTGCCTAAAACTTGTTGCTCCTCCTCACACAACCCCCTGCAGGTCTGGGCAGCTCTCCCTGTTCATGCAGCAAGGATTCCTCCCATAGACATCATCCTTTTGAATCTTTACTCCTGCATCTTCATTCCTTTTTTGCTTATTCAAGTATTTGCTATGCCTTTCACACCAGTTCAATACTCCTTTGGGTGTAGGAACCACATGCTAGAAACAATCACTAGTAATAGGAAGGTATCCTGTAATATGGATTGAACAGTTCTAGAGGTTAACATTATGCTTCAGAGCCAAGCAGGGAGCTTTCAGAACTGAGTAAGACCATCTAGAAGGCAGTCACAATTCAGTTTGCTTATTCTAGTGTCTTCATTATGCTTCAAAACAGTGCAGTACAAACACTACCCACACAGACGCTTCTCTTTCAGTACTGAGATTATATGCTTGTTATGTGGGCTCTTTAGCTACACTGAGCAGCAAATCAGCACAATACTTAACTGAGTCTTTAGTAATCCTTTAATTAAAAATAGTATTTCAAAGTCAAATGGATGGAAAGCTTCCTTTAGACACGACCACGGGCAGCAGACACTGGGGCTCTCCGATTTTAGGGAGCAGGTCCCAGCAAACAGGGCAGACGCAGGGGTTTCAAGTTTCATAGATCACTTCCCTACAGGGTGTGCTGCTAGGTGACTTACCTCTCAAACCAGAGGGGAAAAAACTGGCAGCACCTACTCCAAACCTGCCAAACACAAACACGTAAAGCTCACTAACCTGAGCTAACAGGCGACCAACACTTCCGACACATTTTGGGCGAGCTGTCGCGGCGCAGACCGAGTAATCCCCTTAGCGTGACAGAGCCCGCGCTGGGACTCAAGCCCAGCCTTGTGGACCTGCACCACGAGTTCATCCCTCCCTGCAGTGGCCTTTCTCTGCTTCCCTGCTAAGTCTCCTGGGCTATGGCACACAGCTGTGAGGAGCACATCATAAGGAACATTCCACAGTTATCCAAACGTTACCCTTAGGAAGATACACCGTCTTTTTTGGGGCACAGCAGCAACACAAACTCCAGTGCCAGCCATAAAAATACTTCAAAGGTGATGACATAATGATGATAACCATTTCCACCCATGCCTGTGATCCTCCACACTTGGTCCAAACTTCATCTGGATTGAGATGTTTATCCACAAAAAAATGATGTCTCAAAAAGTAATCTGTCAACATGAAATTTTCATTGAAAATTTTTCCTCTCCGTAAGGAGAGGTAAAATTCCTTCTCCTCTACACACATTTTTTTAGCTGACACGGGGGCACACATACATCACAGACCCAAATGCAATGGTCTTATAAAGGTTCAGCTCTTACAAATGCATGAAACAGATTTTTAGTTTCTTCTTCCACCCAACATGTATGTTCTTATCCTGGCAGGAATGCCCATCAAAGGTGAAGGGAGCAGTTTAATAAAAAAAAAAAAAAAGTAGACTCTTAATACATTAATCCAAATGCAGACAATTCCATGCACTCTGTCTTGCATTATACTGGAGAGGATGGATTCCATGTCTGCCCTGGTGTAACATTCCTTGCAGGCAAAATCTGGGTGCAGAAACTTTAATAAGATATTATGCCATATTAATAAAAGGAATGGAGGCGGTTTTATTACTACTACTAATTGGCATAACAATTCTTTTAAAGTTTCACTGTCAGTAACCCTTTACCCTAGCAATTAAGGAAGACTCTAAATATCAAATTAGCTATCATATAAAACTTCTCCAGAATTAATCCTCTGTATTGCGGACAAAGCAATTGGTAGTTAAACAAGTGTTAAATAACTACAACATAACATGTAGCTCCAAGCTACTTCTTAAATGTCAGTGAACAAAGGTGAATGTTTTTCAACTGACTCATGCAAATAATCTCACTGGAGATGAAAGCTCTTTAAACATAATTTTTTTATTAGATCACTTCTTTCATGGGTTTACTTGATGAATATACTTAGTTTGAAATATCTGGTAATTAGCCTGGTCAAGGACAGTGCTGCATTCATTACTACCCCTTCCTCAACAAGAGCTATTTTTAGTACAAAAAGACTAGATTAAAATAAATAAATACATAAATAAATATTTGCTCTGAAAGGGTAGTATTTATCCCATAAAGTCTCAGAGTAGAACAAACACATATTACACCAGTTTAATGACACAAGTGCTAATTCTAAATTCAGACCAAAGCAGAATATCAGTTATGGGATTAAATTACAGGAATGAAACAATAAAAACACAACATTATCACAGGAAAAACAATGTACTTGTTATTGCAACTCGAATGTGCCTTTGAATAATGTAGAGAAGCTCTGCAGTTCCAAACTCTTGATTTTGTAAGATTTACAGTGTAGGAACAAACCCTTATTCGTGCCACTGGAGGATCAGGCAGAACTTCCAGGAGCAACAAATTATTTCCCTGCTTGCAGTGGAGGCCAGATGTGACACCAAAGGTGGGAGATGTCTGTAGCCACATTTCTCTTCACAGAGAAAAGCAAGGCACAATTCCTTCCAATAATATTTCTGGGTTTCACATTCTCTGAACCTCAGAGAAACGAAAAACAATGAGAGAGGAGTGCAGTGGTGTGCAGAGTTGAGTGCTTGGCAGATTCAGTTTAGATGTATTGTAATATAGTGTAATAAAATACAGATAATATAGCATAATAAAGTAATCATTTAGCCTTCTGATAAGATGGAGTCAGATGCCTCCTCATCATTCTCTCCCCTTCATCGGGGGTGCCCTGCATCCTACAGATGTCTACCTGAGACCAGCAAATGTCCAAGAAAAAAATAAATGCTGAACTGATTTGCTGGATGTGGGAGGCTCTGAGCACCCTGGTGTCACTGTGATATTTTATGAAAATCCTTTTGCTAGTATTTTCTCCTGAGAAGTCTCAGAAAAAAGATGTAAATAATAACTATCTGATTGCCTTGGAATGTGGTCTGGAAGTTTTTTACCAACGGGTGCATCTTGGATCGGTCTCATGTGAGTTGTTTTTATTTGGTGACCCACCACAGCCAGCTGTGTCGGACTCTGTCTGTCACAAGTTTTTATTATTCATTCTTTTCCTGGCCTGCTGATGTATTCCTTTCTCTATTCTTTATAGTATGGCACTTTTAAATATAATATAATATGATAATATAATAAATCAGCCTTCTAAGAGATATGGAGTCAGATTCATCTCTTCCCTTGTCCTGGGACCTGCGAACACAACGACACCCTGGTCTTAGTGGAAAGCATCCCTGTGGGAGTTGAACTAGATGGTCTTTAGGGTGCCTTGTCCCCAAACCATTCTATGGTTCGAGTCCATAAAAATCCTTGGTTAATTACTTGTCTTTGCAGCAGCCAAACGCTCCGCTCCTTTTTCTGCCTTTGCTCTTTGCGTGTCAGCAGGACAGTGGCCCCGTGGGCACCGCAGCCCCGAGCAGCGGAGCTCTGAATGCAGCACACAAAGGGATCACAGCTAGAGCACATAATCCCTGCGGAACAGAGCCGGCCCAGGGAAGGAGACCTTTCTGCTCCGCCTGCAAGGAACCGTGGGGATGCCCCGCACCGCTCGCCTACCAAGGAGATGCCAGGCAAGTTTTTCTAAGAAAAGAACCCCGGTTCTTAAAAAAATTTGCACTGCTTCAGCAGTAAACTCACAATGAAAAGAGAATTCTCATTTGCATCAGCTTGAAACGTCCGTGTTCTGGCGCTACAAAGCCTATGGCTGATAAAGTACTCTTTCTCCTTAGCAATAATTGTAGTGAAAATGCAAAGATCTGGCAAGATATTTGCTTCTGAAATACTTCTCTATTACCATGGAGAATTTGGAATATCCACCACTGCACTGGAACAAAATGAAGATAAAGGAGTTTGAATGCTACTATTATTGTTAGGATTTCTTTCTTCTTTTTTTAAAGGCTCTGTGGATTTCAAAGTGGCAAGAATTAATCACAGAAATAAATCAAATACCGCTGCCAGTAACAGAGCAGGAAGGAGTGCTAAACAAAAACAATAAATACAAATGATTACTCAAACAAACACACACATAGATGATTAACATTTGGAAATTAACAGTGGAGTGTAAGTCCCATGGGTGCCACCAATGACAGAGAAAACCAGACTAGAATTTCAAGAGAAAAGAATAGTAGCTGTCTTCTACAGTAAAGGTACTTAAATGTACCAGAGGCTCCATCTCTGCCTGGGGAAGGTGACACATCCCCTTTCCTTGCCCTAACCTGCATCCCTATTTCTCCCACAGGAGGGTCTTTACACCCTGCAAGAGGACATTTACACAACACAAGGGTGTTTAGCTGCTCTGCTGCCACAGCTCTCAACCAGGAGCCCTCCATGCCTGGGGAAAATCCCTTTGCAAACAGCCAAGTGCTCATCCTCAAGGACCCTGGGACTGTGGACAACCCTGGCTTGTCCTGGAACCTACATTCCTTCATTCCACTCATTCCTGGAATCCATTATCCTCCCAGGATGAGACAGCTGTTGCATCACTAACTAAATCTTTAGAAAACTTTCTTATTTTTTGGCAGGTTTGTTGCAAGGCACAGGTAAAACCCAACCGCTGCAGCATTTCTAGCTTCAAAAGAATAGCTCCTAAACACAGAAGTTATGTTGTTAAAAATTTAAAGCATGAGTTTCTGTTTGATTAAAAAGAAATGTTAAGTGTAACTGTGAAAAAAGATATAAGGACGGAGAACAGAATTTTACAGACAAGAATAGATGAAGGCTCAGTGTAGAGAAAATCCTAAAGAAAATGGGTTATTCTGTGGCTCCAGTTATGTCAAGGACACAGTATGGGGGGCCCTTCCCATTGAGGGCAAGGTCAGCCTTGCTGAGGAATCCCTTCCCACCCCAAAACAGGCACACAAGAAAGGAACCAAGTCCCAGGAGACTGTCCAGACACTCCAAACCTGTTGAATGCTTTTATACCAATGTCCAGTGCAGGCCATTTTCAGAAAATAGAGCCACTGTCATCACTAAAAATTAATGCAAACCAGCCTGGAGTAGAATTTACATTCCTCAAAGGACAGTAAATCCTCAAGACAAGAGACCACCAGACCATCCCATCAGCATGTCACCATCCCACCAATGTTTTCCAAATCCAGGGGAGCCAGACAAAACCTATCAGCCTGTAACACAAACAGTCCCTCAGAAGTATATGTTAGGCTGGGATTGAAGCCATAAATCTTTCTGACACAATTTTCACACACTCTAAGAGAGCTAATGCCATCCTCTGTGGTGATAAAACAGAATTTCAAATGCTTAGCCGTGCACAAGCTGGCAACTGGGAAACTACCACTGGCTGAGCTTAATATCTTAGAGGGAAAATGACTTTTAGGGGACTTATTGGATGAGAACACTGAGCTGGAAGCTGCTGATGGGCATTGACGGTGTAAGCCTCCAATGGCATATTTATAAAGTAGTTCAACATAGGATATATCTTTCAAAACATATAAATTAAAGCCTGGTGTAACTTTCACCTAAATCTATACATAACATCTGTTAAATGGATTCAAGACTGCCACTACATTACATAAACTCCTGTACTTGTAAAGCTGTGGTGAATCACACTATTCTCCTTCACATGACTAGGGGGGAAGGAAAGAGAGAAGAGAGAGAGAAGAAAGACAGAAGAAACAGAGAAAGAAAATCACAGCAATTTTACCAAGTGCTATCAGCTAACATAAGGACAACTCTTCCCCAACAGAGCAGAGTTTTCCAAAAATAGCTTCTCTCGAGACCCCTGGTTTAAAAGCAGAGAATTGCAACTGAGGTTATTGAACAGGAGTAAAAATTGTAGCGTCCCACACATATCAGTTTCTCCAAAACCCTGGGTATTGTGTAGGATTCATTCAGGAGCTACATAATTACACTTTTCAGCAAAATGCAATCATTGCTGGTGGTAACCAACAACATGGAATTACAAGTGGAATATGATAACCATTGTCAATTGCATTGGACAAGGTTAGAATTCCCTTACTCACAGGACAAAGTTCTCATCTCCCCAGATGACAAAAGAATCTTCTCTTGGAAAGGGCACATCTCAAGCCTTGCTACTTTTCACCAAGCACTTAGAAATGTCAAGCTAGAGCAATGTCATTTGGCTTAGAATTGGTAAAAATTTATCAAATCCCTGGTTTGCAATTCCAGCAGAGCAAAACACAAAAAGAAGCGTTGCTAAATCGTTCAATGTAGGTGTTACTTAACCTAAAATCCACAAATAGTGACAGCTTTTCTCTCCCAAAACCATCAAATGACCTGGAGCACACATGATTATATTAAGATCTTGATAGCTATCACATGGAAATTAATGTTTCTGGCTACATTTACTAGATTGTGAAATATTTGCCTGTGTTTTTATTGTGCACAACAACAACAACTCCAACCGTGCCTCTTCTACATTCTTTTATAACTGTTTTATATGCTCAGTGGGGGGACAGAAAAAGAATTTAGTTAATGATTAAGCTTTTTCTTTCTAAAAGCAAGCCATGCTGACTGTCCCAATTAATCAATGTCTCTGGAAGTTGCAAAGGAAATTGAATGCAGTGTTTCTGTTTCAGAATCCTTTATTCTAAACACCAGCCTTCTGGTTTTCAAATGAAGAAATACACACACAGCTGAAGAAATACACACACGGATACTTGCTGTAATCATAATAAAATTGATTTGGGAGTGGTGGTGAAAGTTACATTTCAGTCCACTAAAAGCAGTTCTTTCATTCCAATACAACTTTCTGAAATGAAAATTTAAAACAACTATGAGTAAATTGAATTTCTTATCAGGAGACTGCCACCTAAACATGATTAAGTATTTATGAAGCACTGAATTTCACACAGCCTATTTCACACCATTCCATCTGCAGGTGAATTTGGAGCCTCAGAAAGGTGGACCTGTCACCACTAACCTGCTCTCTAGCATTCCAGAAGGATTTGCTGGTTGCTATTCCCACTACAAAGAGAAACCTGCACCTACTATGGGATCTATACTGAAATTTAGCCAAATCCCAAATATAGTGGCTTACTTTAAGCAAGGCACACAGGTCCCTGTGTGGACATCAAGTACCTACATAAGTCAGACAAAACAGCCAATTTTTGTCTTTTTAAAACTACGCCACAACAGAAAGCCTCTAAATTAATGCTCAGTTACTTGCAACTACACGAGCAGGGAGCAGTGTGTTTGTTTACAAATTACATTCTGGAGCCTGACTTTTCCCACCCAGGCTCCCACAAAACTGCTCCCCATCAAGCAAAATTTATCCTCGGTTCCTTTCCTTGGAGTGCTGTGCTACCACCATTGCCTTCTATTCCCTTCCACAGAGCTCCAGCCATGTAGTGCCTAACTACAGGCTGCAGAAAGTCTTGATTTCCTTATTTCCTTGGCAAGGGCCAAGCTTTTTGTTAGATGTTTAGTGTTTACCCCGTGTCACTTTCAATATAGATTTTCATTTCCACAAATAGAAGGTCCTTCTCATGTACTTGAGGCCTTGTTTTCTGCTTGGTTACACCAATGTAAATTAAGAGCAATTTAACTGAATAAAA